ACCTCCTCCAAATAAATTCAAGAGGGTGCCATCAGCATTTTTTTTAATACACGGTACTTTTTATGCAGACGAATTGAGACGTCTGCGTCAAGAAATCGCGCGTAAAGGAGGGGCAAACTGACTCTAGGCGTTCTGCTCCTGCTCGACAACGCACCAGCACACACATCCCAAGTTGCAATGGCTGCTGTAACTGACTGCGGCCTTTAATTTCTTTCCCATCCCCCATATTCTTCGGTCTTGGCCCTCTCTGACTTTTACCGGTTTCCGAAACTGAAACCAAGCTTCGTGGCAAACGTTTTGGAAGCAATTAAGGTGTCATGGAGACGGTCAATGAGTTCTTTGAGGACTTAAATAGAGAGTTCTATTTGGATGGGTTAAACAAGATGGAGCACAGATAGGCAAAGTGCATGCTAGTATTATATTGAAAAGTAAGACCATTAGTTGGGTTCTCTGACTACCGGAAGTACATCGGGTCAAGAACGTTTTGATCAATCCTCGTATATAATTGATAATTGTTATATCTTTTACTTTCCTTCTTTGTTTCTACAAATGGTTTCTGCTTAGACTTAAGACAAATGTTCTTTGCCATGACTAACATCATGTATGACTAGGTTCATAAGTCTAGATGTTTATTTTAAGAGATATCTCCTCTTTAGATAAGAAGTTTTTTCTTTTAGATATGTTATATTCTGGAAACAACCACGGATGTTCTCTGTCTGCCAATCAGTCTGTCTGGCCGTCCCTAAAACGTTGTCCGGCGATTACGTTTAAAGAACATGGAACATGTCCAACAAAATAGCTTATAAAGGAGAAGTTTAAACGTTGATCTTTTGATTATCTGTCGTATACACATAGTTTCCTTATTTGGCAGGGAAACTGAACACTTTGCTATGATATAAGCAAGCTTAGAAATCAAATAGAGAGAAATAAGAATCCCTAAAGAAAGCCCAACACGGCCAAATTGAAAATGTTGCAGGCTCGGTTTGATTGAGCCTATTCATGGATGGTACTGCCAAGTGCAAACTACCGTCCACGCCCCATAGAACCGGCTTAAGCAGAAGTTCATTCATATCTTCTACAATGGGCTAACTATTGGCCATGGCTCTGCACAATGTTGCTGACATACTTCTTATGGTGTTCTAGGGGACTTTTGTAATGCCTGCCAAACTCATATTTTGGCCATACTTAAAAAAGAGATATAGACTTGCTTTTGTTGGTCTATCCTTTGGCTGTCACTTGTGCGTCTGTTGACTGACAAGAGGTGAAATGTTGGACACCCCGCGTCCTATAGACACATTTCTAGTTTCATTTATAAATGATACAAAGTTATTTCCTGTGCCGACTGGTCTTCAGAGATGCCCGGAACACCACCAGAGTCAGGGTTGAAATAAAAAAATCTTTTAAATGACATCTCCTTCTTAATTTTGAAGAATATTTTGATGAAATTAAATATGAATAGTCCATTGATAATCATCTATAATAATTGCAGTCATTGGACAGTGCTTTACTACAGTTGCTAAAATAATACTGTTGTGCTGAATAAAATGGCTTCCAGAGCAGAAGAAAAATAACCACTTCACCTCCTTACATATCGGGTAGAACTTGATGAAACTATACAGGAATACTTTTCTATAGACCCTTTCATTCAAGCGATAACAGTCAGGGAAGAGTTATTTCCCTTACCGGATGTGACGTAAATGGTGATAAAACTATGCAGTTAGCTTACTGCGTAAATACTGACCGTTCAATTGTGATTATAACATGTAAAGATTTACGCATGCATACATAAATTCAATATCAAGACAATAGCAAAAAATACAAAAACAAAGATTGAGAATAATTCTCGCTACGGAGTGAAAAAGGTGAATATATTTATTAGATCTAGATTTTCTCTAATTAATGCCAGGATAAAAAGCTAGTAACTAAATCAAATTTTAATATTTTAAAAACACCCATACACACTGATATTGCTTATTATAAATTTAAATGGTCATTTTCTAGTTTTATGTGTAACTTTCTATCATATAGAAAATTCCGGCGTATTTGTGACAAACATGAAAATTAATTTGCCAATGTCTTTTAATGTGTTTTTCAAGCTTTAATAGAACAATAACAGAATACATTCTGTCAATACTTACTGATTCTTTTTCATTATGCCGTACAAAAAATATTTCAAAGAACCAGTGAAGGATATAATTTTATAAATATTCCGGAAAGAACGAAAACCATGTGGCAATGTCTTTTATAATGTACGTTAGATTCGCACCAGACGATTATAATATAATTTTGAAATTAAATATCTATTCTTATGATTGTAAGAATAAAGACCTTTTCCCCAGTAACTTATTTCACAGATAAATAGATTTAAGCGCCACTGGGCTGTAACATATTAATAAACAGGGTGCATACAAGCGGCACTTGGCTGTGATATCATAAATCACCAGGGTGCATTTTTTAGAGTTATAACATTACATCAGATTACGTCACTTTTGTAAGTTGTCAAAATATCAATGGTCCGAATTTTGTTATGGATCATCCTAGGGACTTTATTGGTCATGCCTTACTGATTTGATACTCGATCCAGAGTCCTACCAACTGGCACAGTCAAAAATACGTAAAATTATAATACAGTTAATAACAAAACTCTGTGAACGTGTTCACAACTTGTTTTTTTGTTTTTGTTTTTTGTGTGATTTTTTTTTAAAATATTTGATAAGCAAAGTATGAATTAAAAAGAATCAAGTTGAAAATATTACTTTACCAGCTTAAATATATTGGTGGTAAGATTTTTGAGAGTGCATTTTTTGCCGACACAAATAGCTAGTATACATTCATGTACATTCAAAAGAATTTTTACTTTTTAAGCTTTTACATTTTTTTTTGAAATTACATGTATTTATATTGTTGTTTTTCTTTGTCTTAGTTATGCTTAAATCAAATGATTTTTAATAAACCAGTATTTTGCAAATAATTATTACGCCGCCGTTTTTTTCGAAACGACAGAATCCTTACATTTTTGAAACTCAAAATATCTTTTGGGTATTGTATATTAGCAGAGACATATGATACATTATCTATATCTCTAGTATTAGCAAGTAAGTACGATTTACTTGCCTGGTAAAATTTTCATTATTAAGAATCTCCCGAAAATGGTCTACTATTAAAACAAATCGTTAACCTTATTATAGTAAACATTTTATTCATTTCACCATCCTTTTTATGTAATATCTTATTCAATTACACAAAATTTTGGCAATTTCAATCCGCCAATCTTACAAGAAAAAGGATTAAGATTTTTATATCCCTCTATTAGTGTACTTAATCGTATCGGCATTGTCCACCGTATCCCCCAATGACGTCATTCAAGGGCGACAACTTGAATACGGTCTTAAATGAAAGGGTCTATAACATGGTTGTGACCTGCTAAAGAAAACTGCTGTCAGAGATAAAAAGAACATCCTTTAAACAACGCCTATTCCTCCACTATGGGGTCGATTAAAATGATACATAAGTGGTCATTGGATGGTATTTAATACTTATATGATTCCGGTATGCTGATCAAGATTGCCACCAGAGCTAAAAAAATAAAGACATAAATAAACGACACCTCACTATTGTTCATTTGAATCGTCGACTCAGGTGAACGATTAAGGGCCATCATTGCCCTCTTACTTTAGGATTTTAACCACTATGTGTTTTCTTTTTTTTCCTTTGATAAAGTAATATTTTCTGCAATGATAGATCATTATTGTGTTAAAAATTGAAACCATACTCCCTTCATGTGTTTTTCTTTTGGGAGGAGGATTTCATATCGTTTGTGTATTTTATGTAAAGTTATTACACAATATTATACATAAAACTGTTGTTCAATTAAATTGTAATATTAAGAATAAAAGGATGAAATGTGAAGAGGATAATATATTTTCATATAAAAAAACAATTCGTGCCTGTTTAATATTTGTTGTCGTAAGACTACCGAAGAAATGATGCTTCCCTGGATGTTTTATAATTTTTCATAATTGTAATAAACTATAATACACATAATATTATACTTCTTTTTATTCGACTGTATAGTAGTGCTAGAAAAAACAACGATCAAAATGCCTTTTTACTTACACTGTAAATACATATATGTTTTGTGCTTTTCTTAATTTTAAACTATTAGGATCTATTTTATTTTCAAAGGAACACTTCTGGCGCATCGAATTATATTTGGTGTCAGTATTATAAAAGAGTTATGTTTTCTTCTTACTATAACATTTATTTTGTTAATAGAACCAGACATTTTCCTAAAGAGACAAATGATAGCCGTTTCATAACTGTGTCAATTGCCCCCATCGAATGCAGTTGGATTTAAGATTTAAGTTTGGTTTTGTTTGTCCTGCCGTTCGGCTTTCCTCGCCAAGATTATTTTCGTTTTGTGTAGCTATGGGGATAAAATGAATCTAGAAATTCTCTTTGATGCAAGTAATTCCGTAAAAGTTTTATGTGGCTTAAATAACAATAATTACTACAACCCAAATTAAAAGTCGGTAATGGCATTGTTTTTGAGTTTGTGGGATAATACCACATATAAAACAACAAAAAGGCAGAATTAAAAAAATCAAAATCTATAGTATGTCAGACTCACGTAATTTCATTTGAACATTTTAGCTTTTTTATTTATAAACACAAAACTTAATACGTTGTTACCATTCATTTGATTAAAGTACAGTAGGTAATAGTTGTAACCCTTCTTTTTAAAGTTTTTAGCTATACCCCTTTATCATTTGATTACTCTGGCAACCAATTAACATAAAGACTTAAATTACACAAATGATCATTTACTTTTTAAATCCAACAGATATGCTTTTTATTCATAAGGCAAATGTATAATAAGGTCACAAAAAGACATTTTCTTTCACATACTTCTATTTGAAATTTTCTATCCAATATGCTGCATTTTGTCCAGTTTCTTTTTACTTGCGAATCACTTAAACTTACCATGCACTTTTTTGCAGGTGAAGAACCTATGCTGTATAATCAGGGAAATAGTTTTAATGTAGAGTGCAGACATTGCAACGATATGCAACATTTTAATTCAGAGAAGAGAAAATCAGATACATTTTCTGAATGTTATCAGGAAAGAAGAAAATGCAATTCTAAACTAGGAGAAGAGGAATGCGACAAATCTGAAGGAATGGAAATGTATTACACACAGACAAAATGCACATGCAAATGGAAGGATAATTATATCCCGGCAAAACCTGATGCAACTTTTTGTTCGCCTGAAACTATATGTATTTGGAGGAGGTGTGAATACAAAAATCAAAGTAGACTGTCTGGTTGGTGTTTATCTTTTTCTGTATTGCAACAATTGCTTTTTGTCTTATCTTAAGACCAGTTTATTATATTAAATAGTACACCAAAGAGAATATTTACTGAAATTTGAGATATCACCTATAAATGCTGACAATTTGTCAAACTTTGGTTGAAATAGAAACAAAAACAAAATCCCTAAAAACGTCCAGAACGACAAAATTGAAAATTGTGCAGGCGTACTGTGCGCTGACTTATTTGATAAATTTATCTTGCCTAATTAAAACTGTAATTAGGATTTAAAACTTGTCTCAAATACATCGTACATATCCGAAGTTTTTCGGAGCGTGCGTGAACATTTACCCAGGCCAAAGAAGCCACGACAAAAGGACACATACACCAATTTAGAATGTAACACTATTTTTGGTTCTTTACAAAAGTAATTATTTCATGATACTTGATCAAAATTTGATTTGACCTTTTTGGTCTTTTATTTTTTAACGTCCAAACAAAAGCAACTTAGCTCTGAAATTACTGTTTTCCGAAGGGTTTTAATGAATGTATTTGCATTTGCCAATTAAGTTTGCCATATGAAACACATTAGAATTTCACTGCCACCAATTTTGTGTATAGTTAAACCCTTTAAAACCAAGTAAGTTTTGTAATTTTTTATTGTGCAGTGTAGGTTACTTATATTAAGATGCGATTTAAATTTGCCATATGGTATTTATTGCTTATCTTCAGATGTAGAGGTATACAAATTTAAACTTTGAAATGTGAAATTTATGTCCTTGTATTTGCCATATAGCATTGCCTAATTGCCTTCTTTAAAATGGCCTCTTGGGCCAAAAAATGACATTTCCTTTCGTTAACCAAATGACTTATTAAGTATAACCTTTTTTTACAATTGATTCTAAGTTAACGTTCCATGGTCATCATGGACCTGTTGTTATAAATCTTAAATGACAGGGTATGAAATTATGGGAAAATATTTATTGGAAACTTGTAATAGGATAAAAAACCTCATTTGTGTCGTTGTGTTATTATCTCATTGGTAAAATCTAAATACAATTAAATATCATAAGTGTTTCTTAAAAACTTTATTTAAACAGATTTTGATTGCCACCAAGCATGTGAAGAAGGCATGGTTAGGATAAATGATTCCATTGCATGTGTTCCTGAACCCATAGCAAGGTAAATGACATTAACTTATTTCTTTGTTTCAATTTTACTAACCGAAAATTGATATAAATTAATATTAACGCATGTTAATATGATATTTTCACTAAAGAAAAAATACTAAGGTAAGTGTGATAATTGTCTGGAATTTAATACATTAAAGTCAAAGGAATTGTAGAACAAAATAGATATTTGTTATTTACTTTTTTGAAAGAACATAAATATAATCTTTTGCCAATTAATCCCGAAATTATGTCAGCATCAACACGTTTGATTTTATCAGAACTTCAAAGAAAGCTTTTCTACTGAGACAAGCCGTGAAAGTTAGAAGAATGTTCTGGTTGAGTGATTATTTCGTTATCATTTCTCAATGCCAATAAGTCATTTGTTGTTCAGACTCTATGACAGCAACAGTTGACTTGAATTAAAATATAAACTTAAAAGGAAAACCAAGTAACAGCATTAGCTAAACATGTAAGTAGCATGATACCATACAATGGTTTCTGAATAAATTGACCCATGGTTTTGCAGCTAATATATTTCTCCTAACTATTCACCAGCAAAGTAACTGTTTATATCCAGTTACACAGGAAAGTCCAAATAAACCTGGCATTGTGAAAAAGAAACGCAGAATTGTACAAATGTATTGCCGAAAGGATAAACTTGGCAAGAAAACGAACCAACGTTTTCATAGTATTCAAATGAATTAGCGCATACTGAGACATTTTGTTTTAAACCTCATTTAAATATTTATTTGAAAGTGTTTATTTTTCAAGATCATCCATGAAAATGACCACCTTGCTAGTTTTTTGAAGCGATTTCTTGCAACACAACAATACAAATTTTATTAAACATTCATCTATATAAATCTTTTTAATATAACATAGTGGCAGTCAAATATGCATCTTTGTGATTAAATATTGGAAAAGTTTAGCTAAGATTTCTCCATTTAAAGAACGAAAGCCTTTATATTTCAAAGAAACATACATATATTTTAATTGATGTATGATATTGATAAATATATTGTAAGGAGAGTACTGTTTATAAGAAGAACAAAATAAATGACTGTTTTGTTCCTTATCTTCTTGGTAAAAGCAAACCTTTTTATACAGGTCATTTCATATTATCTTTTTTAAGGATAATTTTCACATATGTTTTATGTTAGATATTTCCATGTCATGATTTGATATCACACATTCTTAAACTGGTGCATGTGTAATGAATTTCTTTTCAAAGAATCTTTTACTAGGTACGTATATATAGGATTGATTTATGGGTAAAGGTATATATGTGATAGAGGTAGTAATTGTTTATTTAGATATTAGTAGCTTTACACACTTTCATATCTCTCTTTTATTACTTGATAAAAGGAAGAGGCTCATGCTGAAGTTTGGTTTTCATGGTTTTCCAGCGTTCATCATCTGATGTGAACAATTTGCTAGTTCCATCGATTTAAGGAAGTACACCGTTTAGAGACATTATCGTAGCAAGAATTTCTTAAGCGCATTTAAATGGTCGCTCTGGTAAAATAAATACTGTCATTCCTTAAAGGGGCAGCTAGAGCTACACATGGATCATCCATGCATTTGCTTCTATGAAAAAGTAAGATTGTGAACTGATTCTATGATAAACTGTCAATTGCTCAATATCTAACATGGTATACAATATATAAATTATACCTCCTGCACGTATTGCCTGTACTAGAATCACATTGTTGCTTTGGTTGTGTGTCTGTCTGTTTGTTGGACGGTCAATCCGTCCGTTTCAATCGTGACTATGAATCATGTTTACCTTGAAATAGTTTCTTCAAGCTTTTCTAAATGTTATAACTCAACAAGGTAATATGCAGACTCCCTGCCACCACAGTTCCAGCCCAAGTTCATGGTCCCTCTTGTATGGAAAATTATTGTTCGCTCTTTAAAATCTTAAACCCTTGAAGAATTGTATTCAAACTTGGCTCAAATGTTCACTTTGACAAGGCAATGTACGGAACCCATGTCAACAGTACCAGCTCTAGGCTACGACCATTTAAGGTCAAAAGTCAAATATCAGAGAATTTCGTCTTCGCTCTATAAACACTTTACCTCTTGAAAAGGTTTCACCTCGTTATGTACAGAACCAATCAGACCGAGTCTCCAATGTTCATATAATTTGCCTTATGCCTACGAAGATAATTTTTATTTCGGATTATTTGTCATAAATGTTGACATGTTAGTAGGCAATGTGTAGAACCAATGTCACGTCAGTAATGTGCAGACTCAAAGAGAACGTCAGTCTTGAAGGGTAAATATCAGACACTTTTATGTCGGTTTTATAAATCCTATACCCGTTGGAAAGTGTTTTCTTAATCTTGGGTAAATGTTATCCTTATCAAGACAATTGCAAAACCCAGACGGCAACTGTGCAGACTCAAGCTCAAGTTCAACACTGAAGGTCACTTGTCTGACAATTTGTGTCTCTGTATGAGTCCTATAAGGTCAAATATTGTATAATTTTTGTCCGCTCTATAAATGTAATATCTCTTGAAAGACTTTTATACGTCCATTTGAAAACTCCGATCGTATTAATACGATAAAAGTCTCTAGGTAACCATTGCTAGGCGGAGTTTCGCGCGTAAAATTCAAGTCCATGCGACCAAGACCAAGGCCACACAAAGAGGTCAAAGTTCAGAGAAAAATGAAGATGTATATAGGGACCATTTAGGCGTCATTATTGATGGATTTTGAAACAAATGGTCATTATCATGACGACGGCTGTGACACATGTAATTTGGGAACCTGTATTTAAGGTCAAGGTCACTAAAGGTAATGACATTTATAGGTTTTGTCAGGACCATATCTCCTACACCTATTAAGCAATTTAATGAAATTTCACAGAAATCATAGAAATGTTCACCTCTAGAAGAACATGAACCAAATCTCTAGGTCAAAGGTCAAGGTCACACAGGCCGTTAAAAATGCAAAATGCTTGTCTGAAGTCAAACTTCTACATGCAAGGAGGATTTCAATATAACCTGTTTACCATTGCGAGGTAAGACGCCGCACCCAAAATCAGGTCATTACAAAGTAAAAGTCACATATACAGGTCAAAGTCCAGATCAAAATACTAAGATGTATAGAGGGACCATTTAGTCATTTAATCATTAACTATTTGATTGTGATACAAATGGTCATTATCATTACGCTGGGACACATGTAATTTAAGTCAATGAATTCAAGGTCAAGGTCACTCAACATGGTAAAAATATCCAGATTTGAAGTAAATCTCCTACACCTCTGGAGCTATTTTATTGAAACTTCATAAAAATGATTACCCCCTATAGGGAAACGTGTCCCCGCACCCTTTAACCAGGTCTCTACATCCCAAAGGTATTTTATTGCCCAACCTTTAAGAACCCCGGGGAAAAAAATTTTAAAAAAACAAAACATGAAAGTCAAAATTCAGATTAAAAATTTTGAAAAATTTGGAAAAAATTTAAATTTAAAATTTTTGATGGGGTTTTAATACAAAAAAGGTCATTTCCAATTTTGTCTGGAACATTTTTAAACCCTACATTCAATTTTAAAATTTTTTTTAAAAATGAAATTTATTTTTAAAAAATGAATAAAATGTGTACCCCAATTTTTGAAAGGGAAAATGGTCGCACGCAAAAAAATTTAGGTCCTGGCAGCCAAAAGGCCAAGGTTTTACCCCAAATTCAAAGTTTTTGGGTAAAATATGAAAAATATGGTTTTTTAAAAAGGGAAAAAATTCCCAGTCATATTTATTGTGGGATTAGCACCCTTTTCCGTGACTTCAGATTTGGCAAAATGTAACTGAGGTAATTTTATTGTTTGGGACAGGGTCAAATAATAGATTAAAAAAATGGCCCAAGGAAATTTAAACCTTTTTTGGAAAAAATTTTTATAATAAAAGCCAAAATTTTAACCCAAATTTTTTTTTACTTTTGCCCCTGGAGAAAAGTTTTTGTTTCCCCTGAAAATAAACAATTTCTAGATAAAAAGGTCAAGGCAAACTTACCCTGTGTTTTTAAAAATGCTTGTCTTAAAAAAAAAACTTTTACAAATTACATTGGAAAAGGCCCATTTTTAAAAAAACTTTTGTTTGTTTTCGCAAACAATTTTTAAAAATTTAAACCAAAAAGGTTTTTTGCGAAAAATTAAATTTTAATGTTACAAAAAATTTTTTTTTTTTGGTTTTTTTTAATATTTCAAAAGGAAAAAAAAGTAATAAAAGGGCGAAATTGGTTACCACACCTTCTTTAAAAACCCACTTTTTTTCCCTCTAAAGCTTTTTGTGACGGGGGTTTTTTTTGTGACCCAAAAGGGAACCTTTTTTAAAAAACCCCGCTTTTGGGGAACGTTGCCCTTTCTTTGGGTTTATCTGGGATTCTTTTTGTTTTTTTTGGTTTAAAAAATAACCCAAATTTTTAAATCAACCTTTAAAGTAAACAATAAAACATAAAATGTATTTTATTCTGTAATGGGTTTAAAAAAAACGATGTTTTAAAGGGATTCTTTTCAAATGTGTATTTGGGAAGGACAAAAATTTTTATACCATTTTCCCAAAATTGTTTAAACGGACGAAATAAAGAAACAATTGAGCCGTGTCACGACAAAACCAACAAAATGGGTTTGCGATCAGCATGGATCCAGACCAGCCTGCACATCCGCACAGTCTGATCAGGATCAATGTTGTTCGCTTACAGACCCTATAACAAATAAAGAAACTGATAGCGAACAGCATGGATCCTGATCAGACTGCGCGGATGCGCAGGCTGGTCTGGATCCATGCTGGTTGCAAACCCATTATGTTGGTTTTGTCATGACACGGCACAATTATGTCCTGCCTTTTTGCTCTTCAATTTGATTATTTTTCATCTTCTTGGTATGAAGGACTGCGTAAGTCACTGAAGCACAAACTTCAAGTAGCTTAAAATTAGGGTTTGCGTTTTAAAAAAGACTATACCCCAAGGACTTTTGTGACAAATAAGGTTCTGTCTGATTGAAAATATT